ATTATTTTATTCATTCTGCGAATGAATATGCGTTTTACAGGTCTTATCGGAAAAAAATATAACCTGTATAACATTTCCGGGAAACATTATAATTCAGTTTTAAAAATTACTCAAACATTTCCAAAATTAAATGTAATTTATTATTTTTAATATAATATCAATCTATCGTTTGTAATTATATTTTCGTAAAAATAACAGTAATTGGCCTTTTTGAGATGTTATATACAGTTCATGCTTTCAAGTAAGTTTATTATAATTTATGAGCAATAATTATATTATAATACTGTATAGGTAAAACTGTTTCATATTTGAGCATAATTGAATTATTATTGCTACAAGTTTATAAATTAACAACAATAATTGTCAGATACGATTTTAACTCAAGCGCTACTCGGAAATGGCAAAATTAAGTCATTGTGTACAATGATCGGACAATGGTCGGACATTGTCCACATTCAACGTCCGAGTTTTCCTCTTTGACCATAACTGATATATTTTTAGTTCAATGTGTCGTCGTAATCTTTGTTAAACAGTACAACTATAACTACTAATAGTATAAAAAACAGTGCGCATTCCACTTGACTTTATTTAAAAATCATTTTTTGTCACAAATTATTCTCCTCGTTCCGTTGCGTTGTTACCTACATTCTATAGAGTGCCAAAGTTATAGCTTCTAAACTAAAACGACAGCTTCGATTAATTTATTCACGTGTTATTTTACACGATTGTAGACATTTGTAAATAAATCCATAATTATTGCGAAAACACAATGGTTAGGTGCAAATAAACGATGCGAAGTAAGTTGTTTCAGAGCGACACGACTTAATATTTTTAACAGTAAGTTGACCCGAAAGACTTTATGCAAGGTGTTAAGTGTAGTCTCGTTACCGGGGGCGTATTTATGAGAATGGCTGAGGGGGCTCCTTCCCCCCCCCCGAAATTTGTTTAGTCTGCCTATGGGCCTATATGATGTGAATTGTAGAAGTTAAAAAGTTAAATAATGTCAAGTTTTTATTAGGAATTAGTGCCCCAGGCCCCTCCCCCCCCCCAAAAAAAAAGCACAAACTTGAAATAAACAACAGCTTGCGTACGAGTCCGCAACCACGGGAGACATTTTATCTCTTATCTCTCTTATCATATCAGATAAATCATCAGAAATTGTTGGTTAGGTTTTTTAACTGTCGATTTATCCGGTTGTGTGCCAAAGTAAAGACATAAAATGTCAAAATATCTAAATACGCCCCTGCTCGTTGTACTTTACTGTGACAGATTTATAAGGCAATAATTATATTACTGCGCAGAGTTCTAACGTTAATTGGAAGAGAAATTACATTTGACAAAAACGAGATACGGCAGTTCTATAGAATAGGTATAATATAATAAACCAATATTTAAACATATTTCACGGCTGCATGAGTCATGACGCGTTCACCGCGATAAGACGACGCATATATTATTAAACAGCGTGTAATAACCCGAATAACATGCGTTAGTGTAATATATTATTTACTTTTTTTTTTTTATTATTGACACCGCTTTGACTATTATTATTATTGGTATAGTGTAGGGCAGTGTACGCTGGTCGGGAGCACGGTTTAATTAAGCTGTGACCGGATATGCGAGAATCGCGCGGGCTATTGAAGACATTATCGTCGAATTAAATACAATAACAATATAATATTAACAAGGTTACACATTATTGTTAATATAATATTATATTATTATATGTTTGACAAAACCCTGAGCCGGCTAAATAACGTACAGTTTAAATTATATGTAATATAAATCCCGACCTTCGGTATAATATAGTTCAATTTATTCCCCGAGTCTGGTTTTGGCGGGTGAACACAACGCTTTTTTTTAATATCCGTTACAATCAACGTTTATTAGATACAACCGTTTTGAATTTAGTGCGCAATACGGTCCCCTACAGTATATTATTATTATTATTATTATTCTGCAATTCGCACAGATATATTATACTTTAGTAACAGATACAATAATATTCAAATCAGAAATTTTGTTTTTTGGGGAGGGGATCATACTAGAAAATTGAACTATATTCATTGTAATCGAAAAACATAAATCTGGTTAGAAGAACCAAGAAATGTTTTTCTTCTCGCCTGATAGAACTCTCTAACCGACACATTATATATCGCACACCTAGATCAAAACTGTAGCAACTCCAAAAACACGTACGTGTACTGCAAGTAGTGCGTGTGTTCTAAAATTCATGTAGTATATAAAAGTATTTAAAAGTTAATTCAGCTAAACAAATTATTATTAACTTAATTTTTTGCTAAAACACAATTTAAAGAGAAAAAGTTTTGAAATGTACACATCCCGCTAATGAAGTAATAATACTTTAGTTTAAATTTATTATATTAATTTAATTTAATTTAAATTTACTTCTATTACTTTGGACTTTTTTAGCTGAATCCGAATGGGGACTGAACATTTCTCTAGCACATCTAGTTATTTTCAAAATCGTCTCCAAAACTACAACTTGCACAACATTAATCAGAAATTTCTAATTTTCTTTTGTTTAAAAATAACTACAATTTCTACATTAGTTATAAATTTAGGGGACTAAATAAAATAAGTTTCTTATTTTTAGAGATTACTCTATTTGAAATACATTGTAGAAATTAATTATTCAAACGTACAAAACACGTTAAAAAGTCTAAAAAACTGTATTTGTACAACATTATAGCTTATTGGCCATTTGTAGTTACAAATAATAATTAATTTATAATAAAATAAAATAATAATTAATTACAATTACAAGTATAATAGCTATTTAAAACAAAAATAAAAATATGAACTTTCTTCTCTTCGTATTCCAGTTCATATTATTTAAAAAAAAATCACTCGCGAGGGTTATATCTTTGAAATTCAACTAGACTAGGTACTTCTGTTTTTTTGTTCAGGGGATAGGGTAGCGGGGCTCGACAGATAGTGTTAAAATTGTATCTCCTATAAAGCATCACTATGTGGGCATAGAGATGCCAGACAAGGAAGTCGTCCACCTCGGCCCAGCGGCTGTAGGACGAATGCGCCAATTACGCTAAATCTATGGTATTTCTGCGCCAATGTATCATAAAATGTGGGGTACACTTGCGCCAATATGTTTTATCATACTGCAACCAAATACGCCAGCGATAAGGCTGGCCTAAGCACAAAAAAAAATGATCCGAATTAAACAAAAAAGCAACATATTTTTTGTACTCATACTGAATTATTTTGTTGTTAAACAATTGTCAAAAATAATGAAAAATATAATACATTTAAAAGCTTGTTTCGTAGGGCCCATTCGTGTATCAACTGGAACTGAAGGCAAAAGATGCAAAAAGCGTCTTCAACTTCATGAGAAGGAAGATAAGAATGACCAAAAAAAAAGTTTCAGATATTGACCGACGATCGTGTTACTGATATATTCTTGCTTGAAGCACAGTAACTGAATTTGTCCAAGATGAAATGCACAGGTCACGCTCAGTTCAATATCCGGAAAAATGGTTTTCACGCAATTATGTGCTGCCTGTTCAAAATCTAAAACGCACGCCGTGGCAGATAATTTCAAACTGCATTGCTTACAAAGACGCACTAGCGGTTTCCTCATTTCTGTGTAACAAACCGCAGTTTTTTGGCGTTTTTGGATGGTTTTTCAAAGGCATATAGGTACTTACATCGGCGCAAAAGGAACTGTTTTAAAAAATAATATTTAGTAACTGCGGGCCCAGCTGCAAAACGGACTTTCGTTGTTATTCAACTCGAACCGAAACTTCTTCTTCTTGGAATTCCTCTCCTAACGGAGATTGGAAATCATCATATTAATCTGGATTTTCTCTTGGACCGCCTTCAATATTTGTTTGTTGTTGTAATCAAACCATTGCCTCAGATTTTGCATCCATGATGATTTTTACTAGGAATAATTAATAATGTGGTGGGTCTTCCGTCTCCTTCCACATCGCAGTGACGCAACCATACCGCTGTACTCAGCTCTGCTTGCATTTATTCAAGACTAAGCCGTTCCAATGTCATTTATTTTCCGCTTTAGCTTGATACTGATGCAGCTGCTACCCTGCATCAGGTTCCTTTTGTCGCCTCAGGGGGAACATTCCGCGGTCCTATTCTTGCCCGAGAACCACACAGTAAATATACATAGTAAGTAATATATGTAATATGTATGTATAATATGTAGGTATATGTATTAATGGATACGTTTTGAAAACGCTTTGCTAAAAGTGACTTTATTTACAGGTTCTTTTTAATTATTATTTGTTTGCCACGCAACCTCATCAACCGCGGATTTCTCCTTTTGTTGTTTATTTGTTTAAACCGTCGCCGAAGGCGCTTTACCCGCGACGGACGACGTGGAGGACGCGGGGGAGTTTGACGTATGCCTTATTAACCCCAGGCCGGAATTAAAATCGTGTACTATGATAATGCACACACAAACACACACACACACATCATATAATAATAATATATTACTGCTTACGCCATCCGATAATAATAATTATCGCCGTTAAAACTCGTTGTACATAAAATAATATTATTTTTTATTATTATTATTATTACCATTATCATTATTATTATAATACAAACGCGCGTAACCGGGGAACCGTCGGGCCGCCATAGTTTTCCCATCACACAATGCCGGCCGATCGATACGCAACGTAATTATAATAATAATAATTAGGAATCGCCTGCGGTATGATGTATGTACGAGCTCGCCGTAGTAGTCGTACTGTGGGATACGGGCTGGACGACGCAGGGGCGGCGGAAGGGCAGTCCGGGTGGCGGTGGCGGGCAAGGACTGGGACGAGGTGGCGGCCAGAAGAAGGGTATATAGCGGTTGCAGTAGACGGTAGAAGTCGGACGGCCGCGGTGGCGGTGCAGCAGTAGTAGTAATTATAAAACTATTGCCGCTGCCGCGGCGGGGCGCGGAGGACGGACGGCCGTTATAGTGTATCGTCGTCGGCAAGCGGCGGCGGCGGCCGACGAATCAGTGTGATAGTGGCCGGCGACGGCGACGGTTTTTCCTACGTCAGTGTCGTACCAGCGCGTGTGGTCGGCGGTGGCGGTTTTGATAACGCCAGTGCGATCATAACAATAACAAGAGTAAAAAAAATACAAAATATTGTTTACTACCTGTTATCGACTAGACGGAGACAAAAAAAAAATACGAGTAAAGAGGGTGTACTCGATGACTGCTGCCACCGGTATTGTTTGAACGTAATATTATGGTACGTTATATTATTGTATTATTATCATTTTCGTACCTACTATTGTTAATTAGCAATTACGATCGTCCTCGTCAATTATATCGCGGGCTCGGTTGATTGGCTTTAATTAGCCTTCGTCGGCTCGCGCAACTATTTCCAATATAGACGACTTTCGACAAAACATCCACCGCTTTTGTACGTTATATTATAGTATAGTTAATATTGCCTCCCCACTCTTGGGGTACGCGTCTCTCGTATAAAATGTGGCCAATACCTACCTAATCCTATTTATAATTAGTATATTATTATATAATCGCCTATCCCCTCTGTCCTCTCGCATAAGCTATTAGGTATACGGCGGCACTGGTAGTTGTTATAATTATTACCGAGTATAATACACGTATTATGCGTGTATGTATATGTATTATAATGTACCTATATGTCGGGCGAGACGAAGGGGACGGCCCGGATCGTCCCCTTATTTATAATTGTAATAATAATAATAACGCGGATACATACTACAGGCCGTAATGCGGCAGCTTTATTATATTATGATCGTTGTTATATTATTACCATTATTATTATTAATATCGAGCGCTCGGTGATATTAACATATTATAGAAGGTGTTTGTGTGTGTGCTATAGAGGTCATAATCATCTACGGCGGATAATAATAATGTATACATATAGTAATAATATTGTGTATTAACCGGCGGAGGCCGGTCAATTGACGGTATCCGGTTGGATGTGGCTGGTGTGATATGTGTGGTTGAAGTCGCGCGACCGATGTGCGATCGAACCTATAACGCTATGTGCGAACGTACGACGGTCACTCTCAGATAATCTGTTGTCGTGTTGACAGGTTCGAGGCGCGATGGCCAATGACAATCAGAAATGTGCAATGCAGCCGATGTCACTAGACGCCCAACGGGATCGAGCGGACAGCGGCCGTACGCCGACCACGTTCAGAGCTTCTGGGATTTCGATGATGATGGAACGGCAGCCTCAGGCCACGTTCGCCGAGGACGGAGACATGAGCAGCGTCAGCTGCGGCAGCAGTAACGGAGGCGGCGCAACCGAAGAACACGTTGGCGACCAACGTTTTCAGGCACCACCGCCGGCGTACAACGGAAAGCCGAGATCACGGAAGAGACGACTGTTGGAAGGCAGTATCGGCGGCGAAGCGCTATCGCCGGCAGTCTCGACCACGGCGTCCGAGGAAACCGAACAGGTAAAGTTTTACATTGCACTTTAAACTGTTGGGTATCATCACGCAATGAAACCGGCTTTTAAAAAACAAACCGTCGTGTCGTCTTGGCCGGTTGAAAAATACATCCGTAGTACGATTTTGCAAAAATATGACTTAAGCTCGGCGGCCGAGACGTTCATAATCGGTGTACCGCGAACTACGGTGTATATTTATTGCTGCTGTGTAGTGTATATACATATACATATATAAAGTATATGGGGTGGCGGGTAGGGTCGCGAGCGCTTGAGTTATTAGGCTGGCGCCAAGATTCTCGGCCATCTACGTCGTAATAGGCGAGCGCCAGCGTCGGCCAAAAGTATATATAATGTTTTTAAGTCCTAACTTTATAAACGGCCGTCGCCAAACCCTCCGGCGTGGCGGCCGTTTCGTGGACCTCGTGTAGGAGATATCCAAGTACTTGAATTATTATCGAAACTCGAAAGGTTGGGATAGGTTACGGGAATTGAAAAATACCGCACGTACCGCCGCTGGGAGGACTATTAGGATTTAGATTGTCAAAGTAAAACAATTTCACACCCTACCGACATTAGAGTATAGTCTCAGGTATAAATGTTCTCGTTCCTTGGTCAAGGGGCATATGTGTCAATTCGTCCTCAATATTATATCTTCAGCTTGATTCTACAGCAAACGATGTATATTTTACAGTCGTTGTTCAAATCGGTTCCTCCGGTGTCCGCTATGTTTTAAAGTAATCTATAGGTATATACAAAAATATAAAAATATATATATATATTCACCTGTCTCCAGTCTACCGATACGTAGCTATCTCATAAGGCTCAGATATCGCTAATATATAGTATAGTATACGGAAAAAAGAAATATTATAGTAGGTACGACACTCGAAATATATTTTTGGATATATTATGTGCAATAGAACTCGTTTAAACGTTTTCGAAATCACGAGGGGTGAAAAAACTTAAGCGTATCGTATATGTATAAACGTTATAAAACACACTTAGTACGCGCACCCGCCATAATGTAATAATATAAGCACACAGACACAATTATGTTGCTGTACTCGCATCACACCCCTCGAGCCTAGCGCACACACACATACCCGCCCGCGCCGTCCCGAGTGTCCGCTACCGCGAAGTCTCCATAATAATATTATCGGAATACATACATGTATACGTTTACATTATTATGTATTCGCGGGCGCGCAGCATAGACTGCACGGCGTGGAGGAGAGCGATGAGGAGACGGCGGCCGCTCCAGTCGGGCGTAATCTCATTATACGGCCGCCGCCGCATTACCATCGTGGATTTGCATAATATTAATCAGGCGGCGAGAAGGGGCAGCGCGGGAGGATGGGGGGCATTTTAATTATATATACGGGATGTATAATTACGTCGCCGGCGTCGGCACAGCAGCCGCCCCCGAGAAGGGGAAAGGGTTGTGTATCCCGAACCCGGCGCGCCTCATACACACACATATATATATACATTATATATATATATATATATACCGTGCCACTGTCGGACCCTTTTGCCGCCACCACCGCCACTCATTTGCATTTCGCAGTACACAATTTGCGATGGCGCCGAGGGCGGTGTGAGTGTGTGTGTGTGTAGGAGTGTAAGGGGAAGGCAATAGCGAGAGGGGTAATTAGCATAACTGTATAGTCGGATAATAAGCTCTCCGAGTGCCCGTATCTCTCCTACTGCCGCAGCAGTTGCACAAGCAAAACTCCCTTACCATATAATAACAATAATAATAATTACAATATATCTATATAGTATAAACGAGATTACCCTCTACACAATAGTATTGTGTATATCATAATAAACCCGTCGTATGGCTGCTGTATAGATATCCGTTCGATTTGCCGGTACGCGAGACTATCGGTTTGAAGACGAGATGGTGGATGGCCAGAGACGGGGGATGTGGTGGGGAGTTGGTGACACGCACTGTGGAACGGAACGAGTAAAGCCGATTGTGTTATGCGGATGGCGAAAAATATAAAATATAATAATAATAATATGATTATTTAACAGGGGCGCCTGGGTGTGTGCGCGGCCGCCAACAACAATATAATGTGACGGGTCGGATCCGAGTGAAAAAAAAAATTATATATATGTATATAAAATGAAACCCATATACCGCGGCGGATAATTAATTATACGAGACGTACGAGTACGATATTATTATTATTGTTATCCCTTCTCCCTGAACCACCCCCGCCAATGGACAAGGCCGTAAAAAAATATATCATTATTATTTTTACAATTATTATTCGCCTCGACTCTCCACCGTGACCCTTTCCCCGACAAGTCCTAATCAATAACATTTGCACCATACCTCGTCTGTATAATACATAATAATATGTATCTACATCAAAGTTTGTAAATCGCTACGTGTGTTTTTTACTATTTATTATAAAAAAAAAAAGTTTTTATTTGGTGTCTATTTAATCCTTCGTTAGTGTGTTGCTAGTTTTTCCCGCCTTTAGTGTGTTCAGGTTTAGTACACCCCATAAGTTTAACTAACAACAAATTATAAACAAATTTGAAAATAATGTTAAATATTTATACAACTTAATTTCATAACAACTTGTATATATATAGGATTAGGTTACTACTACAAAAAACAATTTTTAGTAAACATTTTTAATAGAAAATATTATTTTTGGTATTGAACTTTTAAAGGAAAAAACGAGGAACACACGATATAATAATTTTATATATTTTCGTTTTGAAAATACTATATTGTGTTTGTTAAGCTATTTTATGTATTTTTGTTGTGTAAAAACAGAGTGAATACGGCGACAGTGGACAAAATGAGCCGGCGGTACTGCAGACGGCGGTGCCACTGAATCTGATGATGACGACCGGCGGAAGAGACGCCGCGGTGGACCAGCCGGAAGAACACTTGTCGGAAGACGAGAACAGCGACGTCATGGACATGATGGACGGCGATCCGCACGGACAGACGCAACCGTCGGCAGCGTCGTGGTCACCGCCGTGGTGGCTTCAACCTCGACCGGACGAATACGGCGACAAGCCCGCGCAAACGGCAGAACTGCTTTTGGTCGGTGGCCGGTTGCCACCCAGACCAGGTGCCGCACAACCGGCTCGCGTCATCGTCCCCACACCTAATGGCGGTAAGTGCCCATCACGTGAAGAACATTGTTGAGTCGTGGATATGTTTTTAGCGTTACACGATTAAAATATGTGTTAACTTGATTATTATGATATTGTTAAACTCTCAAAATTATATTAAATAAACATTTACAATAAGTAGACGAATTGACAGGTAGGTAGATAATGCCGATAATACTGGAATTCATTTCCATCGCCGAAAAGAGAAATCCAATACAACGCATAACCGAATGAAATAGAATAAACTAATATTACCGTCCTATGTACAATCGGTACACATTATTTAGAATGGTTTGACAATTTTATTCTTGTCTCCACAAGAGAGTATCCTGGGGAAGGGTATTTATTTATGGTGCGCTGGTTTCCCGTTTTGTTCCACACCAGTCGGGTGGTGATTTCTTTCCAGACGCCCACACAACGAGAGAAACGGGCAGCGACCAATATTCAAAACCTTGTATGCTTTATTAAAGTAAAAAAAAAATGTGATGTTTTATTGAAAAATGGCCTATACAAAGCGTCTTTTTAAACGAACATATAAACATATAAACTAATAAAACGGTATGATTAATTTATATGCTCTAAAATACATTTAATGTTTTTGCTAAAATCGGACTTGGCTGGTTATGACCGCCCATCACAAATAATAATTAGCAACATAGTTAGAACGGAACACAAGAAAAAAATGAAAACAATATAAGGAAGAAGTATTAAAATTAAAAGTATCAATATGAGTTTACTTAAAAAAACTGGTGAGAAATATCATACCAGAGGTTTTTAAAATATCAGGGAAAAACTATTATTGTTATAAATGACAATTTAAGGTAAACAATATTATTATTCTACCTAAGGGTTAATCTGAATGTTTTATTGAGGTGTTTTGTAAAAAATTATATGAAGAGTGAAAGTGTCTAACGTTCCAAGTGCCAAAGTATAAAAATTGTACTTAATAATTTGATTTGTATTTTATTCATTACCGAAAACAATTTTGTAAATTTTTCAAGTAAAGAATAGTTATTTATAAAAAAAAACAATCATATTTAAAACTCAAAAATATGTTGAAGTGTTTCCGGTAATGAATAAAATACAAATCAAATTATAAAGTTCAATTTTTATACTTTGGCACTTGGACCGTTTGACACTTTCACTCTTCATATGTATTTATAAAGGTTTTAGGAAGAATTTTAATGATTGGGGGGAGAACTATCAACTATAGAATGCAAATTTCTAACATAATATACCACCTTGTATGATTAGGGGCGAAATGCGTTAATGCAGTTATAAAATTATTTATTTATTGGTACACTTACGAGTAATAATATAATTTGTAAACATTTTGACCGATTGGTTTTTATTGTTACTCAATTTTTTAAGAAAGTTGTATACAATTAAAAACAAATAACTACCCATATTTTTAAAAATGTATATCTCGTAAATATGTTAAGGTGAGAAATTTAAAAAAAAAATCACGGAAGCCATTTTAGACGGGTATTAAGTAAAAAAATGACCAAAATCTGAGATTCAAAAGTCAAATGGTATACGATTTGACGTGGCGTTTTCGAAGTCATTATTCTGCATTCAAGTGACCATTCGATAACATTTATTTCCCTAACATATAACTTTTCAAAAACATGCCCTTTTAACATGTTATCCTTCGATACCCTATTAAATGTTAGTTTTTATACTATTTTGCGTTAACAATAATTATATTTTATAAAAATAAATATCTGTCGTGTCACGCACGGTGTTCTGTATTTGAGTGGTAAAACGTATTTTCTTCTTTTTTATTTTTAAGAAAATAATATTAGTCAATTACTTATATAGTTAATGGCTAATTCTGGTCTTGCACAAAGAAACATATATGTACCCCAGAGCAAAAGTGTATTAAGTTAATAACAAAATGTAAATTGACAGGAGAGAGAAAAATAAAATAATTTATTATAAATTATCAATAATTAACTTAAATAGATGAACTTAGATGGGACTCATCTAACAGACCAAACGTCGTATAAGATAGATCAGTGAATAGAGTGCGAAATTTGAATCAAATTGAACCATAAAAACGGAAAATCAAAATTTCTCACTTAATAAACTTTTGCTAAATCCAACTATTACGCCAGGATTTGCTCGGTAGCCCCCAGCCGGACGGTCCGACCATTCTCGCGAAACCATTATAATTGATCGGTGCAAAGATAATAACATACACCTATTTGACATCATATTATATTTGTTCTTACAGGTGTGGCTGTTGCGCAAGCGGTACTACTGGTACTGGAACCTCCAGTGCCGACCGGCGGTAACCCGATCACCGACCAACAACGACAGAACAGACACCGGTACAAGAACCATCAACGGATGCAAGACAACGGCTCGATTCCTACACAACAAGCACAACACACCATGTTGGGCCGGAACAACACCGGCAACGGACACCACAACAACTACCATTGTCGGGTGACACCGCCTCGTATTTCGGCGGAGTTGGCGGATGAAGACGGCTGCATCGACGGGGTCGGATTTAATAAACCGGCCGCAGCCGTTAGTATGGACGATCCGGCAGCGTACGTCCGGCAACAACAACGTCAGCAAATGACCTCGAACGCGGCGTGAGTAAAAAAACAATGGCTGAAGCCGGTACAAGACATGTATGGGCGTTTGTACCCTAATTATTGGCTTGCGCTTTTAGGGCGTACTACTTCCAACGGCAGCAGCAACAGCAGAGGCTCAACGGCGGAGGGGGTGTAGGTTTGGCACAAGTCTCGACCGACAACGACGGTGGCGCCGATAACGCAGCTGCTGCCGTGGCCGCAGCGACCGCGTCCACGACCATGGCGGCTCTGATGGCCGCTACGGCAGTGCATAAGCATCCGACTTGGCCTACCACGGATTCCGGGTAAGACACTGTCTGACAAACTTCTTATAACATATTATACAACTTATAAGTACTTAAAATATGTTTTAAATCGCACGTAGGTATTTTGGTGGTGGTAACGGTCAACCGCAGAATCATCAGCAACAGTACTCGACTGCCAACGGTTCTCACACGACCATGATGCATCCGGCGGCGGCTGCGGCAGCGGCCAAGAAACGCAAGCGGCGCACGTCGTTTACGCCGCACGCTCTAGAACTGCTCAACGGCCATTTTGACCGCAACACCCATCCGTCCGGTAAGCGTGTCGGCAGTCTCAACGCAGGGACATTTAAATAACCCTAAATCTCTTCCCTCTTACTGGTTTTGTAAACACTCGTTGGTTATAGGTGCGGAGATCACAGCGTTGGCCGCTCGGTTGGGATACGACCGCGAAGTAGTGCGCATATGGTTCTGTAATAAGCGGCAAGCGCTCAAGAATGCTGCCGCCACAGCAGTGGGTATACGTTCGACGGGAATGACTATGTTAAACGGAGGAGGTTCGCTTAGCGCAGTGAAATATTATGCAACAACAGCAGCACCTTAAGTCATAAACCAATAACATAGCAACCGTATTTTATCATTTAACACATATTTATTTATTGTTTAGTTTTTTTTTTTGTGTATCATAAGTTTATAAATAAAAATAAAAAATTACGATATATTATGTATATGTATATATATATATATACACATATTTTATTATTTATTGTATATTATAATAATATATAGAGAGGAAAAGACAAATAAAATTGTATAACATACAGCCGCGTACAGTCTATTTAATTTTTAACTTGCATGTCATAAATAATAATAATAATAATAATAATAGTAAGAGGACTAGAATATGCATTAAGTAGAATATTTGACTATACATAAGTACGCTAAAAGGTTTAATCATGTGTTCACACATAGTTGAAATATACATAAGTACAGTTTGTAAGTAAGTCGTTCATCGGAATCGGTATCTATTCACAACGGTACCGTCCGCTACCAAAACATAGTATTCATAGTAGATTGGCCCTTCCGATTGATAATTTTCTTTCGAACCGTCAGTGCAGTTAGACTTTTGTTCCTGTAAAGTATTGCCATCACCACAATCATTGTTGTTGCTGAGTGTTGTTGGGAGCGGCACTGAACAAGCTACTCGATATGCAGCCAGAGACAAAGGCCGTCGTTTCAGGGAACATTTTACCGTGTTTACCACTTTGTCGTCGAGTGTATCAATTACATCTATTACGTAGCGACCACCAACTCCAACTGGACCACCGCCGCCACGTCGCTTGTGCTTTCGGCAAGCCAAAACATAGTGTCTGTCACAAATCAATCCGGGACAAGTGGTGACCACGCAATATCGAGACACTGCAGAAGCTGATGCTGCTGTAAAGATACAAGTAATTTTGTTAGTCAAGTAAAGACAAACCAATGTTTAAGTTTAAAAAATAAACAAATTTTATACAACATTTTAATGTTGAAACTTCGTAATTCTGAGTCGGTGAAGAAAAAAATAAAACAATTTGTATTCATTTTGTTCAAGGACTCCTTACTTTTATTCCATCATCACATTGTCTTCTTTCAACCCCTATTTTAATAACTCATTTCACACAGGTTTTGATAAAGATTTTTGTTGATATTTCTTAATTTTTTCTTTAAAAAGGGTGATTAATTTAACAAAGACGTTTTTTTTAAATTAATTGTAATTTTGTAGCTTTTTTAGAAAATAATTGTTTGATTTTAATAATATAACTTTTAAATAATATTAGAAGCTTTCCAATCTATCATAAATGTTCAACAGATTATTTTAAACTTAAAACATTTATATGATACATGCTACTTTTTTTTAAAATTAAATCGATTGATATTTGTTAGGCAATCATGTGATAACGAGGCCATACATTTTCTTAATTAGTTATAATTTCTACTACTAATTTTAAACGTACCAAAAAAAAATTTGTTTATAGTTTTTATCTTTTTTTTTTTACAACATTTTAGATTAGGTTTAAATTACATTTAACAAAAATTAAATATCCTAATTATGAATTTTAAAAATATTGTTCTTGTTTTGTACTGATTATAGCTAAAAAAAATTTTAATTATTTTTTTTGTAAAATGTATTATTATTTAAATAGACAAAAAAATATGTGTTATTCCCCCCCTCAAGAATAACTTTAAAACTAATACCAAATTCAAACTTGGCAACTCCAAAAACATATGTGCATAATGCATAATCAGTTTTTTTTAAAAACATCTCCCCATAAATATGAGTAATTTTTACAACTGAAACAATATTTTTTTTTTCTATATAAGGTTATTAATTTTAAACTGTAATTGACTTTTAGTTAGAAGCCCCTGTACTACAGAGCCATAGGCAACTGCCTTGTTTAATATACCTTTCCGCCGGCCCTTGCATCAATGCCTATTTTTTAGAAAGAGAATTATTAAATAATAAATAAAATTGCCTAACATTTGTTCAAGTACTTAGCCCAAGAGAGGAGAAGCGAAGGCCACAAATTAAACTTTATTCTTTCTATATAGGATTACATCAAATTTGAAATTTTCTATTATTTTATGTAGTACACATCTCACTTATTGGAGCCAACAATATCACAAATACTCACATTGCTTGTTCAATGTGTGTCTATTGTCATCTTCTATGTCCGATGACAGGTCCACTATATTGTCGTCTCGGCTTTTGGCATACAGGGTTCTTTTAAATTTCCCATCAGTAACATTGTACACGTCCAATCTGCGACGACAGCTGATTTTCTGATCATTGTTTTCGTTGAGAAGTGGCCCTTTACCACTAGGAATAATATATAGTTCTCTTTCAACCACAGCTATAAATGAACCACCGACGGCAACTCCATCATCTGTACCACTGCCCCCATTGTCTATCTGTAAACATCAGCATAATTATTTATGTTAATTACATTATGCACAATTATTATACTATATAAAAACATGCATGGAATAATTATATTCCATAGCTAAGTATTTTGCATAAAAGTTTCAAAATATTAAAAAAATAAATAAAAGTAACTACAGTGGACCTAACACTGTTGTATCTAAACAAATAATTGTCGAGCTATTAATGATTTAATTGATTGGGTTATTTAGAAAAGGAAACATGTCCATTTTTTTGCCAGTTTCAGATTATAACAAAAGTATTCATCATTTGAGGTTACAACGGAACATATCTAAGTATCATACAGTAACACCATGCATGTACATTTTTATTTACATGCTGTTACATGATATGTTAGTTTTTTTGTCTTTCCCGTAAAATTTGAATTCCTGGAGATGTTTACTTTTCCAAATAACCCATTCAGTTATGGTTTTATTAAATCAGTAAAATAATTACAGTTTTATTTTACAATTTATAAATTACCGTGTACACATGCTCTGCTAATTCTTCGTTCCTTGTGATTCGGTATCCGTGTACGCGACCACGTGAGTCACCTAACAGTAATAGAACCAACCCATCAAGATGATCTATAGTGAAAGCCGCAACACACACAGGTTCCAGAACTTCTTCCACACCTAGCACACGGACCCATTCTAGTGATGGTGCCTTACCCTGACAACTATCTAGAGCTACCAAAGTCCTATATATGTATAAAATTCTATTTTAATAGGTAAAAATTTAAAACTATTCAAAAAATATTACATTTAGTTCTAAACATAATTACTAACAATCAAAAAATCTATGGTCTTGTAATTTGTTTTATCTAATTTTTTTCTACATTAACTATTTCAAAAATACAATATAAAATATACGTAAAACACTTACCGACATACCACTCCTGTCCGCCAATTGCAGGCCAACAGTGTAGTGCCGAGAGAGCACAACACTGCTGCTAATCCAGTAGCTGATCGGCCACGAAACAACAGTGGATCACAGTGTGTCATGGGTAATTCTATTAGTTTTCCATTCAACTTGAGTATACACACCTGCCCTGCCACTAAGTCCAGCACAAATGCCTATGCAAAAATACATCAATACATAATATAAGGAAGCTTGAAAATATGTATTATCAGTAAGCTTACCTGCAATAATTGTTTGTGACATACTGCAGTCACTGCTGCTGGTTGTCTCGCTTTACTGCTATCGCTTTCGTTGTTTGAAGGAACTACACATTGCGCTGTGGCTTCATTGTCTACTACACGAAATTCGATGCATCCATGATGGCCATTTACAGTGGTGGTTGGACGAATTTGACGACCCAATACCCTAACACGCAATCGATACCTATAACAATAAATCAGTAAGTTATTAGTAGTTTCATAAAAAGTCTTAGTAATTGTTTGTATCAGATAAATATATATATTAACAAAAAAAGTATGCACAGTGTGAACAAATATATAAGTTAATTTAAACTAATAGTAAAATTTTGTAATTAAGACCTATTCCTACATCTATGAGTATGGGCACTGAGTTCATACAAATGGATAATAAATAAAACAAATTTAAATTAATTACAATTTTAAGAATGTAAGATAAAAATCTCGCCTGAATATTTGTTAACATACCTGCCAGTTCTGTGTATTAGAACGCGTACTGTATAATAACCATCACCGTGGTCTATTACTCGGACTCCATCCTCATTAAAGTCAACATTATTATCACCATCGCTGTCACTGTCGTCTGCATTTACTGCATATCGCCCACCACCTTTACTTCGGGTTGCTCCTTTGCCATTATCGTCTACAACAGGCCACCACTCGGCGTCTACTGGATCACCACCATGTCTTCTCCTACAGCCCAATGCATCTCTTGCTATCAGTCGACAAAGAACTGTACCTACTGATTTGGCCACCATCAATGGTCCTCCTAAGAACAGTAGAGAACAATAATTACCATATCATGTGGAATTAAGTTCAATTTTAAAATTATAACATTTGCTGGCCATTGGGAATTATCTTACTTAATTCAAATATGAAAAAATACTATCGGTTACTAATATTTGATGACTAATGATATTTTAGTTAACATAATGTGATGTATATAGGAAAATGAAATGAAAAATATCAAAGAAAGATTCAGATATTATATATAATATAAATAAAACAAGAGAGTACCTACAAATTTTATAATAAATAATGGAGAAATTTGTGATGGATTATTTAATAAAGAATAAATAAAATTCATTGTTTTTGTATTACAATTCTGGTAATGTTGTTTTTATAGTTTTTTGTTTACTTAAAAAATCACAACACAAAAAAGCAGTTTTATTGCAATAATTGCTATCATCATCATGTAGCTTAATGGGCCATGAAAGCCCAACGCTGCTATAATGAGATGGTTTCTTGACAAATTTGCTACCCGGGACGGGTCGTCTGTCCGTCACCGAAGAAGGGAATGAATGGCGGTTCCTTTTCACCAGACGATTGCTCACCCGGTAAACAGACCAAGTGTCGAACTGGCGACAGTGAGCGCTAACACTGCCGCCTTACCCACTAGGCCACTCCTTCTCAACTAATATGTTTATAAAATAGATAAAGTGGGTAAATTATGAAATACAAAAAATCTAATTTGTTATTGTTTTTATCATTTTCAAAAATTGTGTTTAGAACACTGTATGTACTGTATACATTTGTCCTAATAGTAAATTAAAGTACCTGAAGGAGAAGAAGGCAAAATTCCTGATTCAGTACTGCAGTATTCAAACCAGCATTGTGAAGGGCAAGTCTCGGTAGCTCGAATTATGCCAAGCTTGTGTATAGCATGATGTATAGATTGTTTTGCCGCTTTTACTTCTGCTGTATTCAAACCTCGGACTCGAACATGACCATTTGCTGCTGGCTCCATTGTTGAATTCGACACTTCAGTTAACTTACGCCCCATTTCAGTAGCAGCTTTTCTTACTGACTGCACTTCACTGCCATACTCCAAGAGGTCTTCAACAGTGGTTAAATCTGGGTCCAAAATTGTACTGCAGCGTCCAGTTGCAGTTATCTGAAAATTTAATTTAAAAAATATATATACATTAATTAAAATAAGTAACACGTTTACAATGCAAAACTATCGTACTTGTGCCGTTTCCGAGAGTATTTCTTTAAGCTGATGATCTAAAGCAGTACGTCGACTAAGGCAAGTTTTGTCTGCTTCAGATATTAGCTCTAATCTTCGGTTTTCAATAGCCATTACCAGTAGACCTGCAGCTCCAAACACAGAGTCCACAGCTTCTTTACAACGACGTTGTGAATCATCTAATGCTTGTAACTCAGCTTGTACTGCTCTGGCACATCTATCTAACTGTAAAATATTTTTTACACATTGTAGGTTTGTACTTTTGTATGTAATTATTTGTTACATTCAATAGTTTTAGTGTCTGCGCTTTTAGTACTGTTTTCCAATAATTATGTAAAAAAAAATTTTTTTTAACTTTTTTTTGTTGTTAAATAATCATCTAATTTTGGAAAATAACATTAATTTTGAAAATTTGTTTTGTTTAGTTGGCATGAAAATGTGATTTATTCACAGAACATTAACTAGACTTGGTTTATTATTCTTAATATTTTATTAGAGGGGAAAGTTAAATAAACTGTTGTTAATTATAAATGTATATTAATTACTAAATAAGTAGTTCAAATATTTTGTTTTTATTACACTGTTTTAATAACTTATAAAATAATTAAATGAATAAGTTTTTTAGTCCTAGTTTAGGCCTCTAAAGTACAGAACAACCAACACCTCTATATATATTATACTGAAAATGAGCATCCAAATTAAAAAAATCTGTGTTCAATTATTTTAAAAAACCCTATTTGTCTTCTTCAATGAAACCAGAAAAAATTAATTATCTAATAACCTATAAAAACAAAGTAAATTAAATAATAGATAATATGATGCTATTTAATTTATTAGCATGAATTGCTACGATTTACCCTTTTGTACTCATTATTTAGCTAACAAATGCAAAAATCAACACTTAAAAATCTGTTCAAACATTTAAACATAGGATCATAAAAATAAATGTCATTTCAACATATTATTTCCCAATATATTATTTTAAGTTTAGTAAGATGAGATATTTAATATTAAATTGTTATAATTGTACAATTATATGCTGTCTTTACTTTATTGGCCAATTCTGCTGCTCTGTATTGAAGCACATCTGCCCATCGGGCTGCCGCGACTGATGCAGGCAAAACAGCAGAAGTAGGATGATGGCACTGTTGGCGAGGAACAGGCTCAGTGTCGGTATCATCCACTGGTATAATACCTCCTATATCTTTCTCATTATGATCATTGTCTTCTTCTTCAGCCTCGACACACACAGGACAATAGGTATGGTCGCAACGACTACAGTATGCTAATTCCTAAATATGTATACACATTATAATATATACATTTTTCATTATTTACTTCAAACATAATATCTGCTAAATACTCACTCTTTCGGTGTGCCCTGGATCTGTTCCAGCACCCCCAGCACATGTTGGTACAACTACAGTAGTACGTTTACTAGATAAAGCACCACTAACGCCACCAGACACCATACCAACTGGTGGAGCACACACTAGGTCTAAGAGCTGGTTAACTAGGAAAGAAGGTGGAAGGGCTTGAACACCTCCATCAGCATCAGATGGCACCATTACACGTTGCCGACATATTGGACATCTAAAAAAAAATATTAACAAACCGTTACACTAATGACAATTTTACGTATCTACTAATTGACAACTTTTTAAAAGAAGAAAAAAAAACTGTTTTACTTTGATTTTAACCCTTTCAGACCTGACTTTTTTCTATTAGTTGGAGACACTTGAAATCAATTTTTCTTAATTGGCGTTATCAAAATGGGTGGAATATCAATTTTTAAAGTAAACAAAATTTGACCTTAAAAACTGATTAGAGACTAAAATATTGATACTACTAAAAATCGATAAAACATATTTTTTTTGGGAAATTAAATTTTGCGTATTTTAGGGTTGAGTAATCTGATTTATCATAAAAACTATATGCGTTATCTTTAAAATACTGCAAAAACACAATGTCTCTTTATTTTTGTAAATAATTTATTTATACATTTTATGTTAAGTATAAAGAATTGATTTATTTCTAGTCACATATCAAAAAGTTTAACTTCTACAAAACCAAAAATCTTAAGGTATATAAAAACTTTATTTAATAATATTTTTAGGTTACAAACTGTACATTGTTTACAAGATAAAGAGTAAATAAGTATGATGTAAATATTAATTGTAATTAAAGGGTCACCTGGTGCAAAAAGCATAATTTAAGCAGAAGTTGATAATTTGTTGTGCTTGAAATATAAATCCAATCTTAATGACATTTTTAATATAATATATTTATTGTACTTCATGAAAATATATAACACTATTTATTTTTGAAAATATGAACTTAAATCTAAATAATGCTACAAAACCCCTTCATGTCGTAATGTTTTATGGAAATAAAATAAAACCTTTTTAGGTAGCATAATATATTTAAATTAATGAACCTTAGAAAATGAGAAATTTAAATTAGAATGAACATTTTGAAAAAAATTAAGTTAATTTAAAAAAAAAATGTAATTATATTTATTATACTCATTTTTAAGTACATCTAAAAGAGTTGAACAAATTCAACAAAATGTCAATAGGTTGAATATTTCTTCTTCTATCATTAAGCCAGTGTTCGAAAAAATACATTTTGAGGAAATTAAATTTAAAGTTTAAATATATGAAAAATGAATAGATAGTACTAATATATGACACTTCAAAGCTAATATGTTTCAAGGATATAATTTTGAAATGGTCAGTTGAAATGACAGTTTCCTGTCAAATAAAAGAAGACAGCATAGCGGTCGGAACATTGTAGGTATGAAGCATATTGAGATCAGAGATCACCGGTTTTCATCAATTATTATAACTGAACGTATTAAAAAACCACATTAAAATAAACGCTTTGATAGAAACCTATAATCTGTACATGGTAAGAATATTAAATATCAATAAAAGTATTGTGAAGGCAGAAATGTGTTTAAAATTGTATTTTTAGTATTAAAATGGATAGGATTAGGGTTAATTGTCTGATTTTCCTAATAACTTGTATCACCAATAGGCATATCAAAAACATAATGAAAATATTTTTTGTCAACAGCTATTGGCTGTTGGATCATTTCACATAGCTACCTAGAAATTTCCTACAATTAGAGAGTAATTTTTTTTTTTAATAAAAAAAAGTTTGACTACTTATTTATTTTAGAAAAATATATATTTTATACTCATGGTCTACCATCAGTCTAATTTTCAGACTAACACATTCACTGGGGATGACACCAATTTGCATCATTTAGCATAGTTCACATATGCCGATTTTCAATGTACTATAACTCAGTCTGTGTTATGACTAAATAAATAGTTTTTCATCCGATAAAATTGATTTTACCATTAATTAAAGATAAAGTAATTAATTAATAATTCCTGTATTAATATAATAAATTGTAAATAATACTATTCATTATAAATATTATAGATAGCCTACTGAGACAAATTTCAGTTCTGGACGTCGACACGGGATAGGCGCTAGTAGTATCGTTTTTAATGAAATTGATACTACTAGCGCTAATCCCGTGTCGACGTCCAGAACTTAAATTTGTCTCAGTGGGCTACCTATGATATTTATAATCAAAGATAATACATATTATGTAAAAAGTAAAAACTTAAAAGAAAAATATAAACATTGGTTATTGAACAATAAAACTGTAGAGCGTTGGAATAAAGCGTATAATTATTGTATCCATCTCTTTGTAATAAATAAAATCAGTTTTTAAATTTTGTTTTTCACGGTACTATATTAATGGATCAATTCCATGAAGTTTTATCATAACAGATATTTAATCGACAGAATTCAATATCTTACTTGAATGATGCCTGTTCCTGTAATTGAACACGATCACGATCTTCAGCTATCGTGTTGCCTTCACTGCCACCATCATCTTCTGCGACTTCAGTAACTGGTATCGGCGGCATTCGAGCTTTGCTGGCAGCCGCCATTCTGCCGGCACAATGTGTACACACAGTGTGCGTGCACGATAGAAGCTTCGGAGCGTGTTCGTCGGCATCGTATACGCCTGTGACCACCAACGTCATCAATATGAAATACAAACTACAGTAAACACACATTCAATAATTTCTACGGTGTATTGTTAAGAGGTTCGACGCCCAATGTTTTCATCCATGGTATTTGGACGATTGACCGCTCAACAATACTGATACAAACCGAGAGAACAAAGTCTGTAATTACGGTTATAAATGGTCAAGTACTCACACAAGCAGGTAGGACAAGTGAGGAACGCTCCGCTAAACTCCGTACAGTCGACACTCAGGGTGTCCACGACAAGCCGTCGACGACGCGGTGTCCCGTTGTCGTCAGCGGCCGTCATTGCGGCAGCCACCGTTCCGAGTGTACAGACGCTAAAGAACCGAAGACATTAATAACTTGCGTCGTCGTCCCGTCATTGTTGCATCAGACCGACCGCACCGAGTGATGATGGTCTTCCGACGCTATTATCTCTAGACGTCGTGAGTCGACGACAGTATTATAATTTGTCAAAAAGTATTCAATATGTCCATACGCTTAAAACGAAAATTAAAGTATTTAAGTACAAACGCTATAATGAACGACAACAACGCAGTGCGTTTTGCGCGTCCACTGCGGTTCTACGGCCAACGTTGATAGCGCTACGACGGACTGCGGGAGCGGGGTCACAAACAAACGCAAAAACTATACACATACACACGCACGCAGCCGCCCGCCGTTGCCGCGTTATCACGTTCATTGTTTGGTTCAACGCACCGTCAGCTGCTGGCCGCTGCCGTGCTTGTCGCTGCGCCACCACCCGGCACCGACGGCTGACGGGCGACGTTCTTTGTTAACCAACCCTGACGATAAGGCGGGCATGACACATGCACGAATTAATACACCACGTCGATTATCGACAACGAAATATATCCATTATTGATTGTGTTACGCTATACAACTCATTATTGTAGGCTGTAATTATTATTATTTATGGCTTTATTCCAATGCGGCAAAATCACGTAGACCAAAATATTATAGGCCGATACGCGCACACGCGCTTCGTGTAATATAATCGGATGCGGATTCAGGGCCGTATTCAGACCGGTTCTCTCGGGTCATATGTCCGGGGCCCGGCCCTAAGCCTATTTATAAGGGGCCCGGTAAAGCTGAGTAGGTACGGCCCTAGGCGGATTGCTAGTGTTGGAGCCTTTAATCCATAAACTATAATATGCCGCCCCCTTAAGACCATAGGCGCAAATACGGGGGGGCTAGGGTGGCTTAGCTCCCCCAATGCTAAACATAGCCCCACCAAAAAAATTAGGTTATGCGTACACTTTTAAAATATAAAAATATAGTTACTTATATATGTAATAAAAAAAAAATTTCCAGCCCCCCCAAGTTAAAATTGAAATTGCGCCTATGCTTAAGACCCGTTTACGCGACGACAGTAAACACCAAACGGTGCAGCTGCTGTCGTGTAAAATGTAATCATTCGTTAGTAACTGTCATAGTAGTGTAGTACATATTACAGGGTTTCGTAATCCGTTATTTATTTGTTCAGTTCAAAATTATATTATTATTCAAACTAGGAATAACGATATAATTTTTTTTACACCGAGAACGTTATACCGTTATAACGTTTTAAATTGATTTGCTCCGAGAATTTTGTAATAAATAACGTTGCCTATACAATTATTTGTTCCGAGAACGTCATAATTTGTTTAGGTAAGAACTCTTCTTATATGGCAATTTGCCACATTTTCATCTGAGTGTTCTTAGATTTATTCTTAGTGTTCTTAAATTGTACATTTTTACGATTTATTTAATATGATCGGTTCAGTAATATATGCTCTCTAGAAGAAAAAGGGTTTGGTGAATTTCCAGATACGATTTTTAACTGATGGACTCAAGTAAATCGATACTGACATCAAACAAAAGCTTTCTCGTACAAAAGTTTTCATATAAACGTTTTCTGTTATATTATTAAGGTTATTTAATAACCATTCAAATGTAACTCGCTCAAAACTTTTATACTTTTTACTTTTATTCTTGCAGTCCTTAGGCATTATTCATTAATTACAGACTTCAGTGTTCAAATCTAGTTCATAGTTTTTTCTATGAAAATGTCTATTTCTTTATTTTTTAATATCAAATGTTATCATTTTTTTTTTTATAAATTCCAGTGGTCTATCAATTTTTAGTAGATATTTAAAGGGTTTTTATAAAAGCCAAGTAAAAAAAAAAAGTAAGTATTTAGTACTTTTATAATATTGCAAAATAACATAAACCTAAAATGTTTTTCAAATAAAAAAACAATAACATTCAACCATGAGTGGGATTTATCGTGGGCAACAAGATGTTTCCGGAAGTAAAAAAATTAAACCAGTAAGTGATATGTAATTGGCAATAGAATGCATATGGTTATATGATATAGCTAATAATAGTTTTGTAACTGTTTTGCACAGACCGAAGCAAGTGGAGATTAAAAATATGTTTTTTTCAAATGAATACTTTGTACGTCTATAAGTGTTCATTGAGTTGCTATGATGTTAAAATGGTATCCAGGTACATATTGTATTGATAATGTATTCTCATTATTTTAATTTGATAATAACAGACAATATCTATTAATACATCACTAAGAATTTACTACAATAGTTCTGAATTCATATCGCATAAATGTATTTCATTAATTTTCGAGTAATTCATACATTTTTGGTTATTAGTTTTTCTTTACATTCAACCTAAAACCAAAATATTTGTACTAAAAATCACATTTAATTTGATAAAATTATCATTGGTATTGATCGTATGAAATGTTTAATGATTATATTACAAACACCAATTAGTTTTCGTTTTTTAGCCAACAAATTATTTATACATCTGAGTATTTGATAAAAACATTTCTCTTGTTAAAAAATATTTTTTACAGTTTTCACTAATATTGTATAGGCAATGAAATTACTTTTAAAAACAATAACACAAAATTGATTCCTAAAGAAGGTAACATTTATAAATTGCAAATTATCAGTTTAATAGATATTTTTTACTTATTGTTACAAATTAATAATTAGTATTTATGTATAATTGTATTAAAAGTTAGTTCACGTTTCATTATTAGACGATTGTGTGAACAACTTTTTAATTAAAATACATTTAATGGACGCTTCAAATACACTGTGAGCTTAGCATAAAAATTAGCAGAACAATTACGGTTTTTATGATTTATCGCCATGAATATTAATTTTACTGCAATATAAATTGTGAATCGATTTAACAAACGCAATTATGTGTGTAAGAACTGTAAATAATTGTTATAACATTATCTGTGAGGTTATTAAGATTTTATTAAAATTCACTACAAAAGCCTATTTCCAAAATATAGCAAGCGCAAAATTTCTCAATTTTTCCAGTTTATCAACATGACAACACAAAAAAATTATGTCATGTCAAAGTTAAAAATTGTATTAAAAAATATGTAGTTTCTAAAGTGTAGTAGACTATCGAGTACCAGATAATTGAAATGAAGAATCCATCATTATTAGAGGGACATCACTTTTAAACTCTGCGTACAAGGCCTTCTCTAAAGTAATACTAAATCGTATTGTCCCTTATGTGGAGGATTGCTCAGATGGTTACCAATGTGGCTTCCGGAGAGGCCGACCAACCACAGAGCAGCTATGAGCTATCAATATTGGGGCAAATAATTGATAAGAGATACGAATACTGGCAGACTACGTGGCAACTATTTATAGATAAAAAAAAATGGATATAATAGTATCCACAGAGAGAGCCTCTATAATATAATATACGAGTCCGGTTTCCCGAAAAAATTGATTATACTTAAATAAAATGTGTATGAAAAACACGAAATATGAAACGAGCAAAATGTAACGTCAGGGTCTTGTAAAAAACATATATTTATCCTAATTCCTACACGTTTATTCGACCAAGAGATAGTATTCGATATAATGTAATACGATACACACTGTATGAGTATTAATATTTATAGTTAAGTATTGTAAATATAATAATACGATACTTTCTTAAGTTTTTAAAGTTAATTTTAAAACATACAATTCAGGTTTCAGCTCTTGACAAGTATTATGCACATAAAACAAACGCAAAATAAGTAACTTTTCGATAAGAATAACTATTGTCATGTCTCGTTCGTACGATATCGCTTTTATTTTATAATGCTCAATACTTAATCTTGGCCCTTGGGCAAGGGCGCCCACAGGGAGGGACATGGAGAACAACTCCTCCCTAGCTTCTCTGCAAGTTAAAAAAATGTTTATCCAATATCCTAAATTTGTAAAATCTATTACAAAATCATAGGCAGTTCCCCCTAAATTTTTACCTGCGGGAAACTTTGCCCTTGAGTACTATTTTGTATGTCGTATAAGGTATATTATGTAAATTATTTTAGTGCAAACTAAATTTTTTAGCCTAGATTTTATTTTTAGACCACTGTGGGCCTGTCTCATCCCCACTTTCAGCTTCGACCCACTTTTTACACTATTTAGCCGTCCAATAAGGAAATTTCCCGGTCTGCCGATCTGCTGCCCCTAACCAAATTATGTCGAATATTACCTAAATTTGGTTCTCTACTACTTTAAAAAATGTTAGTTCCAATTTTCATCTTTAGAGACATTACGTGAACGCGCGTCATCACTTAAATATTGCAATTTATTTAATCCAAATAGTAGCATTTTATCGTTGCGACTGGGTATACATAGAAAGCGTTATAATAATAGTAAAAACAAATTAAGTATTAACTATATTATACAAATTTAAAAAAAAAATGAAGACCTTCCTCGCTGCGGTAGTCGAATTGTACCTACTAGCTACTTGCTAGTCTGTATACACGGTGATCCATTAAACATGATCCACTTCCACTTCAAATAATTGCAGTTTTGTAATTTTTATTTTTAAATACGTTTATAATTATTTTATTGTAGAATATTATAAAATTACCAATTATTTTTATTTTTTTTTTCTAATGCGCTATCAACATTTGAAACTTAAATAAAAATGTACATAATATGTAACAAACTTTTTAAAATGAAAATAATTTGTTGAAAATTTTGACTATTCGATAACCAGTTTTTAGATAATTAATTTTAAAGTTATAAAAGTTAATAGTTGATGGGAGGAGGGGTGGAGTGTAGTATATTTTTTAAATGCACGCATTACTCAACCAGTTCCACCGCCCGTCAATGTTAGAAAGTGATATAGAATTTTCGGATTCTAATAATTGTATTAGAATTGAATGGTTTTTCTCAATCCTAAAATCTGGTTTAATCATTGTTATTGAAATTTGAAATGATTTATGACAGTCGGGTTTTTTATGGCATGTACTCTTTACATGTCTGTACTCTTATTTTTGTATTTAAACAACTAAAAAAGATAACTTCTAAAGTAGATACATTGAGAGAATTTCATAAAATTTTAATTAATTCGTTGGTAGGTATGTTTAAAAATTAAAAAAAAAACTACCTCATATTTAATGTCGATTATATCGGTGAAAAAAATAGTGAACAACGTTGTTGACTTAGGTATAATTTGTTTTGAAAAATTGATGATGACGTTAAAGGCGATAATGAGGACATTAATTTTGCTGAAATGACGGCCACTTTTAATGAAATCTCCATTAATTTG